CCTCCTCTTAGGCATATACCAAAATGATCTACATCCATGCAACAAAGACGTGTTCAACTATGTTCATAGCAGCATTATTTGTAATGCTGTAAGCAATCTATATGCCCCTCAACTGAGGAATGGATAAAGAAAATGTGGCATATCTACACAATGCAATATTACCCTGTGGGGGGGGGGAAACAATGGAATCTTGAAATTTGCAGGTAAGTGGATGGAACTTGAACAAATCACCCCGAATGAGGTAACGCAGTCACAAAAAGAGGAACATGATATGTACTCGCTCATATATGGATTTTAGACCTAGAGCAAAGGATCATCAACCTATAATTCACACTGCCAGAGGAACTAGGATGCAAGGTGGATTCTAAGAGATTCATATAAGGTCCCTCTCAGAAAGGAGAAGGGACAAGTTCTCCAGAGCACATAGGGTGTGGGGGGCAGTGAGAAGAGAGGCAACTAGGAGAAAGAAAAGGGGAAGAATGGAAAGCACATGGGACTAGGAAGATTGAGTCAGGGTAGGAATAGAAGACAGGAGAGAGAGAGAGAGAGAGAGAGAGAGAGAGAGAGAGAGAGAGAGAGAGATAACATAAATAGGGAGCCATTACAGGTTTGAAGAGAAAACTGAACCTAAAGAAATGTCTAAAGACCTACAAGACTGACTCCAATTACAATTTTAGCAACTGATAAACTAACTTATCCACCATCATGGAGCCTTCATCTAGAAGCTGTTGGAAACAGAAGCGAACACCCAGCACTAACCACTGAGTTGAACCAGAATCCAGATGCAGAGATGGACAAGACTAGGTTGCAGAAACACGTAGAGACAGCTGACATGAACCAAGAGGAGCTAATGGGCCCACAGACTGATAGCTGGGAATCCAGCATGGAAATGACTCAGACCCTTGAACATGGGTCTCAGCTTGAAGGCTTGAGAAGTCTAAGGGACCTCAGACAGTGGAACCAGTATGTATTCCTGGTGCACAAAAGGACCTTGCAGGCACATCTCCCATGGAGGGATACTCCCTTAACCTAGGGACATGAGAAAAGTCCTAGTCCCTACTTCAAATGACTTGACAGATTTGGGTGACCCCTCCTGGATGGCATCACCCTGCATGTAGAGTACGGGGTAGGGATGTGATGCAAAGGTGGTCAGTGTGCATGTGAGAGGAGGAGGGAACTGGGATCGATATGTAAAATAAAAAAAAAATTAAACCAAAAGGACTTAAGAAAAGAAAAGAAAAGAGTTGATCTGAGCAAGTGAGAGCTCAGAGATTCCAGTCTGACAGCGGGGAGCCTACATGAGACCAAACCTGGGCCCCTGAGCATTGATGTCAGTTGGGAGGCTTGGGCAGTCTTTGGGGCCATTGGCAGTGGAGCCAGTATTTATCTCTATTGCATGAATAGGTTTTGGATTCCCTATGGAGGGTTACTCTCTCAGCCTAGATAGAGTGGGGAGGGCATCCATACTGCCCCAAATGATGTGACAGACTTTTATGATTCCCCATAGGAGGCCTCATCCTTTCTTGAGGAGTGAATGGGATGGATGGATGGGTGTGGGGAATAGGAGAACAGGAGGGAGTAGGAACTGGGATTGATATGCAAAATAAGATTGTTTTTAATTTAAAAAATTAAAAATGTAATTATGACACCATTAAGCATGTTTTCCTATTATTAAAATTTTGTTTTTTATTCCTTGATACCATAAATTTTGTATTAAATGGTGGTTCTGGAGATATCTGGGAAAATTACAGTGAATATGACAAAATACATTTTAGGAAATTCTCAAAAAATGAATGATAATAAAAACAAAACAAGCTAAAATATTATAATATCATTACCCATCTGCATAAAAAGATAAATATATTCAAACTCTATAATATACAATTTTATGTTACATTTTTAGTGGTTTCTGCAAGTGTTATTTTCATTATCATACTTCTAAATGCTGCTAATAATTATTGATTTTTTTAATACTACTTAAACTTTCAGTGTTTAAAAATATTGATGATTGTGTATTTATTTTCAATAAGATTAAATATCCCAAAATTACAGATAAAGTATTATCATGAAATAGTAATCTTCTTGAACTTAAAAAAAAAAAGCAAAACTGGGGCCTTTAGAAATGTTTGTTTTTGCACCTTTAAATTTTGTCATTTCAACCCTATTTTTAGTAAGAAATAGCCATGTAATTACAATTTTGATTTCTCTTGTTACTGCTGAGAACTTTATTGTTAATATTTTTTTCTTTATTAAATGTGTTTCAATTTCCATTGCCTAAGGAATTTGCATTAACCCAGAATTAGTAAGCATTGGAATCTCCCTTTCTTTTTCTCTTTCAACATATCATTACAAAAAAAAAAACAAACAAAAAACTTTATTTCATTCAGTGAATTCTCATGTTTTATTTTCCTGTACTAATGTGTCATAATTGTGTGTATGTGTGTCTATATAGATCATGAACTCGAGTGAAAATGTATCTGAGCCTGTGTACACATATCTTCATCTAGCTTCTCTGCCTTATTGCCTAAACTCTGGTCTCTTCTTGAACTTGAAACTCACTTTCCATTTTGGCTGGACTTGCTGTCCAATGAGCTTGAGTGTGTCATATCTGAATGTCTCTGCCTCCTAATGTTGAATTACTAGCAGCACATCCATTTATGCCTTTTTATGTGGCTGCTACTGATCCAACCCCAAGACTTCACACTTGTTCAGCAAATGTTCTTATCCCCTCCACTGAACCATCTCCCCAGCTCTGTCTAGAGTGCTGTGGACATTTAAATCATAAAGCCATTATTAATTTTGTATTTTCATAATCTCATGTACAATAGCCATTAGAGTTGTCTAAAGTCAATATGCAAAATTATTAACAGCCCTATCTTGCTAAAAGAGAAAGCTGTCAACAAAAACATTATCCCTGGTCTAGCTATGTTTTATATAAACATACTCCTTAATTTAATTATAAAATTTAATAGTACAAATCTATTCTTACACTATGAAAAAAGAAGAATCTTCAAAGGGATAGTAATTGACTTTCTAGATTTTCATGGTGCTATGTACTTTTATTGTAACAGGCAGGCTGTTGTTTATATCTCTCACAGGGGTTTTATTAAGGGCTGACCAATTGTACAAGTAACATTGAGTGTTCTCCTGATTTATACATGAATGGGAACACAAGTTAGAGTTCTACAGTATACTTGATCTTTATTAAATTTGTACTCTCTGAGAAGTGATAAAATATGTTAAATGGTAAAGGCAGAAAGACATACACTATTCCAAGAATGAGCTTACAAATTCTAGTGCCAAGCATGAAATGGCAGGTAAGTGAATCTCTATGGAAAGGAATCTGTATAGAATGGAATGGTAAAAATACTTCCAAGCACTACTGCAGCATGGACATAATGTGATAGAATAGAGGAAAAATGGAGCATTCAGTTACCAAGAACCAAAAGTGTTTAAATGATTCTGTCACCATTGTGAGAATTAGGATCAACGTCCCATGCAGAAAAAAAAAAAAAAATGTTCAAGAAGGAAAAACATTACCACAGAGCAAACATCTTGAATTCCTAACAATGAGGGTACAGCAGAAGAAAGATGTTCTCAGTCTACATTTACTTTAGTTGGAGATAGTAAATATCATACTTAATTACAAGTCTTGATGGATAAATGTTCTACTGTAGAGAATAACTAGATCAGAATATAACAATCCAAATTCTAATTTCCTGTAGACAAATACCGAAAGGGGGCCATAAATAGAAGTTATCCAGGAGTTTAAAATTGTTGTGATAGCACATTGTAAACACAGCAAATTGCTGATTAAACTTTAAATATTATATTTGTATATATATATATATATATATATATCCATACCATTATCTATGAATTTAAGAATTTTTTTGTTTTAACAGTCATTGGATTATGTAGTGTATGTGTTGGAAGTCACTTAGAGACAAGTTAAATATGTTGCATCCAATGGTGCAGCAGAAATAATGCCTAGGTGAAAACACTGGGTGTAAGTTCCTCTATGATGCATTCAGTTCACACAGTAGAGTCAATCCAGACCTTTTTACTATGCAATGAGTCACAAGTGACACTGAAAATCTATACTGACAATCTTTTACTGTAGCAGCCCAAATGTATGAAAGGTAAACAAAGTAACTGTCACAGCTTTACAGTAGCACCACTTAGGCTTGCTTGCCCACCTCTCTCAGAAATGGCATCCTTTGTCTACTAGATAAAAATCTTCTGAAATCTATTAACTTTTGCAGACTACTAGCTTGCTTTAAAAGTTAAGATCATCAGACAGCATCATTGACCTATGGAAAAGTTTCTACTTAAGTCCTGCTCAAACTACCTCTCTGTTGTAAACAACAATGTGTCCTAAACTTGACATGATTTCTGACTTTACCTGTTCTACAAAACTGTTAGACTTTATGAAGCTGCTTCCATGTATTCTGTGTTCTCAGGACATGGTCACCCAAATGGCTCCAGAACAAACTGTCATTATTTTTTCCCCTTTCACATGAGAGATATGGTGTTTACATCAACATTCTTAGACACTTTCCACATATAGTACCTTATGAATGTTAACTTCTGAGGTGATTGCATGAGACTGACCTCATCTGTGACCTACTCTGAGTTCTATGGTTAAAAGTGGACACATATCTCAGTAGGATAAAACATCAGGAAGGCTTGTAGATGAATGCAATTAAATTCAAAGATCATGATGAAACCAGAGTAGACAAGATGGTGATGGGTGGGAAATGATCAAGAAACATTATTTACATGTATAAAATTGTCAAAATTGAAAAATCAATGCAATAAAATGAAATAAAAATTTGATAATCTAAATATTTATATTTGATGAGATACAGTACATAGTACCTCATTGTGCAGAAACATTTAAATTCTTTTTTCCTCTTTTCTTTCCCCCTGTCTCTGTCTATTTATCTCTGTGTCTCTGTCTCTGTCATCTATTCCTCTCTATTTCTATCTTCTCTCTTGCTTTAGATCCAGCTAAGGACCCATGCTTAAAGACCAAATGCAGTCGCCACAAAGTCTGTATTACTCAAGATGCTCAGACTGCACTCTGCGTCAGTCACAGGAGGCTCACACACAGGTAAACAATCTGAAACTAAGTCCTACTAATCGAGTGAAATTACTTGCCACAGCATGAATATTCATCAATATGTTGATATTTGATAAAGATATATATATATTTAAATGGCTCAAGAAGTTTGAGTAGTAAAGTCATGATAAAAATGGGTCAAGTATAGTTGTCATACAGAACTCCTAGGGATTAGGTAGTTTTAAGTCTATATTATACAAGGATGACATTGTAAAGATTGAGTTAAAATATGTTATCTGAGTCAATATGCTTCTCAAATTTAAAGAGTACTTGTAATTTAGATACCTCTATAAGTGGGGTACATTGAAACCTCCAAAATAAAGCTTTCTGCAGATGGAAACAATTTCTTGGCTTTGGGAGTAACAGAGCCACTGCTGGAGATACCTACTCCAGAAACTAGAGGTCAGTATTTTGTGGGAAAAAGCATACCAGTTTGATTGGTAAGGTAGTAATGGGAGAGGACATTCAAACCTTAGAGTTAGCATAGAGGCTTTGATCCATTACAGGCATTTAGGGTTCCTGATTAACAGGAACTGGATGCCCTTTGCCTAGTTGACCATTGTGAGTGGACAAGGTAAGTAATGTCTTCCTTGATAAACAGAAACTGTCCTCATGGGATTCCTGTGGAATGCAGCATGTAGGTTTTGTTTAACCAATAGGAATGCTCTGTTTCCCAGTAAGACTTCTACCTGGATTGGGCCTAGACTATCAAGTAGCCCATTATCATTAGCACTGTCATTTTTGGGCCTAACTTCCTCTACTATTCTTGTTTATAAATATGTATACATATAAATTTAAAGGAAAACTTAGGTAATATTTATGTAAAAAACTTAAAATAAAATTTATGGAGATTTTGGAGACTATTAAAGAACATATTTTAATAAATCATTCCTACTGGTGGTGTTCTTTTATCATAGTTCCCACTATTTCTGTGGAGTGGGATCTACTTTGAAGAGTCCTTAATTTACAAATATTCTATGAAGCTTGGCACCAAGATTTAAGCACTGAAAATCACCATAATCCCAATTCAAAAAAAAAAAGAAGGGATGTATTAACACTATAATATCCAATGGATCCTAGTTATTCATTTCTATGGTAAAAGTGGAATCATTTATGTATTGTCTTCAAATCAAATTAATGAAGGAACATTGCAACTAGCATATTCTCAGATGATAGTTGAAATGTTTGGCTTTAGTAGACTTACATACCAATAAATATATTAAACGCTTCTTACCACAGCTGCTAGAGAGGTGAAACATAAGAAACATAGATTTTATACTTCATTAGGCCAATAAGTGGAGTTTAGTTACAGCCTAGACAATCTAGGTTAAAAAAAAAGTCCAAACTAAAGTCAGAGTTTAAGAGTTTATTAGCAGGACATGTAACTATGCAGCTTGGAAAACAACAATACAAAGACACACCAAGAGATGGAGAAAAGAGAACATTATAGAATAAAAATGGCTTGAATATCCACCAAAGAACAATTTAAATATATGTTTTATACACTGAATAGATCAGGAAATTTTATTATACTAAATCTGTAGTGCCAGAAATTTAGAACCAAGGCATATGAAAACAAAAATATTTGCAAACCTCATAGTATGCCTTGTGATATATGCATGTTATGTTGGGGGAGTGACTGCAGAAATTAATCAGGCAGTTTTTTAAATTTTGAAATTACATGTGTATGTCATCAGTGTGCTAGAGAAATTCACAAAATGACAGAATGACTTACCAGTAATGTGTTGCCTGTCAACCATGACTTTTTATTTTTATTCTATTTATAAGGGAATGGTGGTCCTCTAGGCTAGACATTTTGTTATTGACCTATTTCATTTGGATCCTAAAGATATCCTGAAATTTCTGAAGCTTTTATACAGGATGGTGTGGGAACTGGGATTGACATTTAAAGCAAGCTTGTTTCAAATTTAAATTAAAAAAAATTATTTGAAAAAAGAATACATGAATGAATAAACCAAAACAGGTTGTAAATACACAAACTGGAAGGGGTCTGTGCTCTTATTTTTAAGTTTTAAATTTGTGACTTGGATTTTAAAGTAGATAAAACAATAATTTTATAAGTTTATATATATATATAAACTTAATCAGAGAGACCCTATTGTTATCATAACTTACTACATATTTAACACTAGCATTAACCTCATCTTCTAGTATAGGGTATGATGTAAAATGTCTAAATATCCCAGGATACAGGTAGAATCTTCTGAGGTAAACAATTCTGAAATCATCATAACTTTAAGGTTTGCTTGCAAATATTCCATTACCATTATCATGTGGAATTAAAAAAGAGTTAAATTGGGAAAAACACTACAACAACTTTCCAAATATTTTAGTTGTTTAATGTAATCTCTGATGGTTTTCTTAGAGCTTGAATGTTACTTATTTTTTTATCCAGTTTTTATCTTGTGACCTTAACGTCCTGGTTTTGCTGGCCATGAGTGCCAAGGGCTCTTTGTTTTCATGTATTAAAATTGTGTTTCATGCTCCTGACATGCCTGTGAAATAGCATATAATTAACACTGTCTATAGATCAGAATTTTGGGCACCATCCAATATAGCCAATATAAAAAGAGAAAGGGCAGCATGAACAAGTCGAGAGAGAGAAAGAGAGAGAGAGAGAGAGAGAGAGAGAGAGAGAGAGAGAGAGAGAAGAAAGGAAAAAAGAAAGAAAAAAGAAAAGAAAAAAGATGTAATCAGTATAGGAGAGAGTTAGTCATGTTAATTTCTGCTTCATTTAAACACAAGATACAAATACAAATCAATAAGTACATGCCTTTGGCCTCCTAATTGTCATTACATAGAAAATTGTAAAACCTATTTAAAATGTTGGTTATCAAAATAGATATCAAAAGAATACAAACCTTAAAACTCTTTCATTCTAATGATTCACTGTGGAGATTTTTATTTGTAATGTCTGTATTTAGGTTGCGATAGTTTTCTTCAGAATCTTGCATACTGGGATGTTTATTATTATTATTAATATTATTATTATTTTTTGTTATAGTTATTATTATTATTCCCATTATTACAATGTTGGAATATTTTACATAGGAACAACCAACCACAGGGTCCATGTTACAGTGAGATTTGTTGAAATGAACTAAGCATAATTATGACTATTTAAAAACATTTCACCTGATGCTTACACGAAATGTAACCTTTCTGATAACTAAATACATGGAAAATATTCCATAAGAAATTGATATCCATTATTTATTTCTTATTTAATATGTGAAAAACTTTAAATGCACCTACATTTATTTGCAATGTTTAAATAAAACACTAATTCTTTATATTATGTCCACTTTATAAAAGCAGAGACAACATTTGAATGTTTCTGAAAGTTTTACTAAATATTAAATAGATGACAAAATAATAGGTAGATAGATGATAGATTTCTAGAAAGATCGGTAGACATAAGATTTGACACATATATATGTTCATTTAATTTTACACTTAGAAAATAACCTTGATTGTTCATAGGGCTAAATGTGTCTTTAATTTTGTAAGTATTCATTTCTCACTTTCCTATGGTTAATGTATAAATGGTTTGTGATTCTTTTAAATATTAATTATATTAAAGAGTAATCATAGAATTTGGATAGAGGTCATAGTGTTTATTGATTCTTAAAATTAAAATTATAGATAAGCATCATAGTACCTTTATCTTCTCTACTGAGGCTCTGCATACATATACAAGCACTCTTCCTTATACAGTGTGAACGATTTAAATCTTACAGATATCATTGGAGTTGAAATGGATTACAATTGTTATGATCAGTTTACCAAATATAAAATTAAGACTCTGAGAATGTACACAGTTTGATCAACTGCACTCTCACAATAATCATAGATGGTGAGTTGGGCTATAGTTCTTACTCCCATTTTACTTATACCAAATTCTGGGACAGAGAAAATTTCTAGTGTTTTAAGTGGCAAGTTTAGACACTAAACTGGGCACTATAGTTTGATAATTTTTTATTAGTGTGGTGCACCATATCACTTGAAACATTTTTTAATACTTAGGGTCATTAATTCAGATTATCTTAAAGTGATCTATTTCTTCTAAAAGTAATCCCTGAATAGCTATCTTCTACAGTATAGTTTCTCAAACACATTTAAACCCCTGTTCAATTTTAGTTGAACAGACAATTCTATTTTACTGACTGTCAAAGGGGTATACTACCTACCATATTGAAAAGCATTTACAAGAAGAAAATTAAATTAATTAGCCAATGTAATTTCAATAATTAATGTGATTTTTGTCTGTTTAGATTCTGATAATTGAAAAATTAAAAAATTAGGTACACATATAAAAACAAGTCCCACTACTGACTTAATTTCTTAATGTGTGACACTTAATATCATTGTGATACGTTTCCACGTTATCTATATTTCCCCATTATCTGATAAACAGAAACCTTACTCATAAAAGTTGCAGATCTTCAACATGATCCTTCCTGGAGTGGCCATAGTAACACATTTAGCTTTCTCTGTACCTTTCCTCCATTAGCTCATCACAGCAAAATAGTATGTTTTACAGAGGAATGTTTCACAGCAGGAGATAAGAGGCAATATGATCACTCACTCCAGCAATAATTCATTTTAGCTGAACAATCATAATGTCTCTTTTCAGCATATTCCTCTCTAATGTGTGAATAACAAATATATGAGGTCTTCTGATGATCACTATATTTATATAGACACAGGTAAAAGAGAATGTAGTCCATTATCTTATATGGGAATAAAACATGAACGGGAGGGAGAAAGGCACATGAAAAGAATATTAAAACCTACTTCATGTGTGACCTTTTGAAGAAAGGCAAAACTTTTGTAAAAACTTTTGAAGAAAGGCAAAGGTAACATAAGTGAAGATGGCTACCTTTGCAAATGCATTTCACATGACTCTGAAGAAAATTTAATAAAGTGTCCTTCAGAGATGAAGACAAAATACCAGATTAATGCCCAGT